TATATATATAAATCAGTTTTGTAAATATAATTATTGTAAAATTTTGTATAAATCTTAAATACACGTTAGATAGTAAGTATGAAAGGAGACTGTTAAAAATGAGAATAATATATGATTGTATAATAGCTAATCTAATAATGTGAATGAGATATATATCGTATTACATTTATTTAGTGTATTAAGATGATAAAACACCGAAAGGACCTAACAGCATAGTAAGATATATTTACAATAGCATTGTATTAAAAATTTTTTACGTATGAAGCGTAGTTAATTTTTTGTATATGGTTAAGTTGTTATGTTTGTATATAATAACCCTATATAATAAGAATATGGCTTCTGACAAAAATACATAAGTCGTAAATATTTTTAAAAACATACTTGTCTATTTATTGCTGACATTTTTAGCCAGACATTTATTGATGTAAGTCGTTCTCGAGTACAAAATTATAAAAATGATTCTAGAACGGCTACTTCTCTCCAAAACTTATCCCAACTTAACGATTACAATTAATTTTTATCGTAAAACTTTAAATGTAAATGAAAAATAATAATATAATGAATTTTTAAATATTAAACATTTTTTTTTTTCTTTTATTAGACGGATTCGTGATAAAGTGCTCTCGGTATTACATAGATCTTTTACAATGTACACATTTGAATTGTTGTAAAATAAATGTGCCAGCGAATGAAATATTCTTTGCGTAATAACAAATTCTATTAAATTCTACTAATAGCTTATTCGAAACAGATAAATATTGCTTACATGTAAATTGCAGCTTTAAAAGTTATATCAGTTAAAAATATTAATATATCAATCGCTATAATAATACTTCCAAAACTTCTTTCATTCTTTTTTTTCTTCTTTTCTATTTTTTTTTTTATTTTCTAACGTACCACTACTAACAAATATAATGTGCATTTAAAATTGAATTAGCTTTTATTACTAATTTTTGTTGTTTGCCTAATTATATACAAAATTTATTTATTTTTCTTTCTTTTTTTATAAATATCTTAAAGTAGATAATTATTTAACTAATTTCTAATATCTTTTATATATATATATATAAGATTTACAATAAAAAAATATGTAGGCACTTTCACATTTCATCACATTTGCATCATCAAAATCTTCTTACATAACTTGAAAGCTTTATAATGATTGAACAACACTTTTTTTTCTTTCTTTCTTTCTTTCTTTCTTTTTCTTCATACTGTAGTCATACAATTGAACAATTGACAATAGTAAATTATTATATATTATAATGATTAGTGATATACTAATACGCTAATAATACTAGAGATATAGTATTGGTATTTCACCGACTTTTGTATAAACTTTAATAAGAACAAGAAGCAACTTAAATTATTTATTATTGCATTATTTGTAAAAAAACGTGTAGGAATTATATATATATATATAAAAAAAGAATAAAATTGACAAAG